GGACTTGTCCCAGAAGAATGGTTAATTGGTTTAATTAAGCCAATATATAAAAACAAAGGCGATCCCACAAAGCCTGATAATTATCGCCCCATTACTCTCCTAAGCTGCTTAGGAAAAGTGTTCACATGTATTCTTAATAACAGGTTGGAAGATTATGCAAATGAAATTGGATTATTGAAAGAAAATCAAGCCGTTTCAGGAAATACTATTCTACACTAGATCATATTTTAACATTACAGTTTCTATCAAATATTTTAATGTAAAGAAAGAAAAAATTATTCTGTGCTTTCGTTGACTTTAAACAAGCCTTTGATACTGTATGGCGGAATGGTCTTTGGACCAAGTTACAAATTAATGGGATAAAAGGGAAATGTTTTCAATATATTCAAAATATGTATAAAGGTATTAAGTCTATGGTGAAAATGAATGACATGTCCACAGATTTTTTAGCTGCAATTTAGGAGTAAGACAGGGAGAAAACCTCTCGCCATTTCTATTTTCCATGTATATTAATGATCTTGAAGATTTTCTACTTAACAAGAATGTTGTAGGCTTGCAAAGTATTTCAAGTACTATTGAGAATGAATTACTAATGTATCTTAAACTGTTAGTACTTTTATATGCAGATGACACTGTTATTATGGCTGAATCAGCCGATGAATTACAACATGCAATTAACGAATTTCAAAAATATTGTTTGCAATGGAAGTTGAAAGTTAATGTCGAAAAAACGAAGATCATGGTATTTTCAAAGGGTCCAATGCTAAAAAGAAAATTTTATTACGACAACTTAGTTATTGAAAACGTTAAAGAATTTAAATATCTAGGCGTTGTATTTTCACGCTCTGGTTCCTTTTGTAAAACAAAAAAACACATATGATCAAGCTCAAAAGGCGATGCATGGAATTATAAAAAAAATTAGACAATTCAAATTACCAGTTGACTGTCAATTTGATCTTTTTGATAGAGTTGTAGTACCAGTCTTACTATTTGGCTCTAAAGTATGGGGCTACGAAAATCTTGATATTGTAGAACGTTTACACTTGAAGTTCTTAAAGCATGTATTTAATTTGAAAAGTTCCACGCCATCGTACATGGTCTATGGTGAAACAGGTCGCTTTCCTCTGTACATCTCGGTATACTGTTGAATGATTTCATTTTGGGCAAAGCTTTTTTCAGGCCCACAAACTAAAATTGTAAATGTTTTATACAAACATATGTTTAAATTGTACTGTGATGGAAATTTAACAAACACATGGTTAGATTGTATTCAGAAAATATGTAATATATGTGGTTTACCAAATGTATGGTACGAACAGAGTGCCAATATGAATTATAAATGGATAACTGCTACCGTAAAACAAATATTACAAGATCAATTTATTCAAAAGTGGTCTAGTGACGTTAATAATTCTTCAAAAGGACAAACTTACAGAATCTTTAAACAAAATTTTGGATTTGAAAATTATATTAATAAGTTATCTCCTAAATTTAGAGCAATATTTATGAAATTTCGTACCACAAATCACCGTTTACCGATAGATACAGGAAGATGGCAAGGTTTACCACTGTGCGATAGAATATGTACACTTTGTAAAAACAATCAAATTGCAGATGAATTTCATTATATTTTAGAATGTAAAACTTTATCTAATGTGAGAAAGAATTACCTGGGCAATTATTATTCTTCTAGACCGAATGTTATTAAATTCATGGAAATTATGTCAACCTCAAACGAAAAAGTGATGAAAAAACTTTGTATATTTATCCAAAAAATCTATGCTGCTGTCTGTCCTCCTTGATATGTTTCCCCACTCTTTTTTTCTACCATTAAACTTTGGTTATGTTTTCTATATTGTGTATGTACCTCTGACCAGACTGTTTATATTGTATATAATGTATATATGTTATTTATGCACAATACCCCATGTACCAATAGATTGGTCTGGGTGAATAAACTGAACTTGAACTTGAACCTGTAGTTTAATTACTGATTAATTCCTCATTACTCCGTGAGACGAGGGAAGAATTCCCCAAGTGGTCAAAGTGATTTATTGAATCTTTTATGCGAAGGCATGCGCAGTCACAGATCAAATCAGAAGCTCTAATAACAGAAAATACACATGTGGTAGTGTTTATGTTTGTTTATTGTTGAATAACTAAAAAGCATTATCACCAAGAATTTTTCATGCATGATAAACCAGTAAATAACTTTTGTTTTAGGCGCTGAAGTAAAAATTGTCCTTGAATCCCATGTCAATAATATCTTCTCCTAGTGTGTAATGTCGCTTCTATATAGTTCGCTGAAGTAGACAAAACCTATTCCAAAACACTTTAAAAATTACTTTTTCCCAAACTTCTGTCTCTTATGCCATTAATGTGAAATGACATATTTATAAGATATTGTTTCTGGTTTAATGATATCATTTGAGTTTTAGGTTCTACACATTACCAGAGAAACAAATGGTATTATCGTATTAACATGCGTTAATTATTTGGGATTTTGATCTTGGGTCGACAAATTATGTTGGTCATCCTGAAAAGAAGTCCTTATTTTATTATTCTGAAAGATCTTTATTTACGAAAGAGCAATTTTAAAGAATTTTAAATAATTTATAGCGGTTGGATGGTGTTGGTTCAATGTTTGTATAGTTATATAAAATATTGTTAATGACCTCTTGGGACAGCCCTCTTAGGTAATAATAATACCTGTAATTGTGATATTTGTAACTGAGAAATAACACATGTAATTGTGATATATGTAGCCTATAAATATATGACGTCACTGTGTTGTATGTAATTGAAAGTATAGGCCATTGATATCTTAATAGATGGTCCTGAAAGTTTGAAAATAACCCCAAATCAGCAAAATGATGACCTAAGTCTTTTTGATGGGGAAACGTTTGGTCCATACACCTGTTCAGCTGACTGTAACCCACCTTGTACCGCGCAGTGGAAGTATAAACACCCAGAAGGTGGTTTCAGAGACGCTACACCAAATGGGACGTCTGCAGTTAATCTACCAGTACAAACAGCGAATAGAACTAATATGGCGTTGATCCGATGTGTTGTAACAGGGATCAAATGCAGAAAAACATCAGACATCATTTATTGTAAGTATACATGTAATTGATAATAACGTCTTAAATGTAAAGAGTATTAGTCTGAAGGAACAAAATGATTTTAACAACCACTCTCATAATCATTTTTGCAAATAGAATTTTTTTTTGTTTATTTCAATAATTTTTACATTACAAAACCAGGCTTTAACAAGAAGCCCTGGGGCCACATTGCTCACCTGAGCTAGGAAAAAGTACAAATCAGATCCGAATTGAAAAGTTTACTGAGGTGGTGAAGGGGAGGGGGCTTGGATTTAAATACTACTAGCCTCCAGATCAATACTGCATATAGCTTCTTGAGAATTTTTTTTGAAAAGTTTTTTAAAGATTTTTCAAGTATGTTTTTGGTATATATTTCTTAACTAATAATGATTTAAATTGAAACTGACTCCCCATTGTTTCCCCCTACCCCAATTGTGACCCTACCCTTTCCCAGGAGGTTATGATTTGAACAAACTAAACAACCTGAGGATGCTTCCATAAAAATATCACTAATCATTGCTCAGCAGAACTTGAGAAGATATTTTTTTAAAGATTTCCCTATATATTCCTACGTAAAACTTTGATCGGCCATTGTGGCCCCACCCTACCCCCGAGGGTCATGATTAGAAAAAAAACTTGAATGTAAACTACCCGAGAATTATTCAACATGAGTTTCATCTTTCCTGCCCCTATGGATCTTGAGAAGATTTCGAAATTTTTTCCTATATATTCCATGTAAATTTTTGATCAGCCATTGTGGCCCCACCCTTGCCCCGGGGGTCATGAATGAATAATTTCATTTTTGTGTACAAATAGATGCTACTTCTTTTCTTTAATCTAACTCTGAGAATATTACCAGACAACTTTTTTGGTTTACAATGGGGCGTTCGATATTGAACGCTCGTGTTCGGAATGTTTCGGGCATACTCGTATACCTTAAACAAATTCAGCGTTCAATAAAACGTCAAGATATTGAACGCTAAAATTCTCTAGATTTTTTATAGTATCTTATTAAAGACTATTTATGAGCAGTATAATAAATATTTATTATGTCATTGCCATTAAAAAAATATATATAAACCAATGCATAAAAATTTTGTTTGCATTATGTATCCTTAGTAGGTCAAATATTGATAAGTCGGTCAATAGTCACCCTATCATTGAACTCCGAGCTTTAGTTTGATTTTAACTGTCGGCCAAAATTTTGGAAACCCTTATTGTCGAACGACGGACGACCGACTTTATATACTTTATGAATACGTGGGACAAAATCTCTGGAAACCTCTGAAAACAAACATGGCTAATTGTGTCATATTCTAAGAAATTCGCATTTATACTTTGACAATCTTTGGGGAAAGGAAAACAATTGACATGCGTTTTCTTCAAAATTTGTACTTATCTTGATTAATGCAAAACAACACAGAGAACAATGTGACTCCTGCTATAAATATTCAAAATACGGTATTTCTTTTATACACATTTTTCATAATAATAATTTCCTCTTTAGGACAAAAATACATCAAGTTGAACAAAAAGTCTTATATTTTTTAAACATTTGTTTCCCATATTTTAAGCTGTAATGAAGAAAGCATTTGATTTTTTTCCTGTTGTCAAATACACACAATTATGTAAAATATAATTAAACTTCCCCCCACCATCTTAATAAAGATTAGTCTTTAAACGGGTTACATTTGCTGGTATTTGTCCACGAAATTAGAAGAGTTCTCTCGAAGACTAATCTACTACTTGGTAAGTAAACTTTCCTTGCATTGTACGAGGGTTGTTCCAAACATTTGTAGACTGAGCTCTTTTCTTTAATATAATTAAAAATAATGTATCTTTAAAATTTTTTGGGGCAGATAAAGCGTGTTCGTGGCATATAAATTAGGAAGTTTTATACTGGTTACTTGATTTAAGGTTGGTCCCTACTCAAACGCGTCATAACAATTTACCGGATATGATTATCGATACGAAATGTTAAAACCAAATCCGTCTTTACGAGTTCTACCGGGTTAGTACCGTTATCGGTTTAGGTATTATATCGCGCTGAGCATTTCCAGTTGGCACTTTTAAGATTACGCTCGTGTTTACCGAGATGCCAAGGTTTAAAGGCAGGTTTGTTAAAGACTCTCTTGTTAGAAAAATTGAAGATTAGATAAAGGAAGAAGCAATCGAATAAACAAATCATATTTAACATGTGACGAAACTAGTGGTGTGCCAGTAAGTGACTTAGATTACAGTTATCATTATCATAGAGTTATGGCTGTGATGGTGAGAATATTCATGTCGTTTGAAAAGAAGAGACATATTCGGTTTAGGAAGATAAGAAAATGAATCAGTGGAGAATGGGCAGACGTGTAGTTGATCTTGGGGGTTCTTGCGGATGGTCTAAGCAGTTGTGAGTTATGCGGACAGCCACTGCAATTGTCAAACTGTGTGGGGGAACACAAAATTCGGCCTTGCACATGTAGCCCTACTACTTGTCAAGTGCAAATTTACTGACTGTGGGCTAATACCGAAGTGGCAACAGGAAGCAAACACCAGACTTCAAATGGCAGAAATGCATGGGATGTAAATACCAAAATAGCAGTAGGTATTAAATCTGTATTTTATTACATAGTTTATTCACATATTCAAATTGGATCATGATGTTGGTTATTTTTATTTTAAGAACAGTTATAGTCAGTATATAAACATAAAAAATGTGACTTGCTTTTTTGTTAAAAGCATCTTTATTCTCAAACATACATATGCACACACCTAATTATACACACACACATACAGAAAATAAACAAGGACAATCATGTCATATATTCACTTTCCATGTTGACTTGTTAATAATTTTGAGAACTCATTTCAGGAATAATAAACGGAGGATTTCCAGATTTGGTGAAACACATGTAAATTCACTCCTGGCTGCTTTAAACATACCCAGCGTTTCTCGGATAACTCTGAACAATAGAGGAAGAGAGGTCAAGCAACAATTTGGACAAATGGCAGGGGAAACTTGTAATAAAAGTCTGCAGGAGGAGATGAGATTGAAATTATGCCATTTTCTAGCAATACATGACCTATTTATATTTTTATTTGCAATCATTTTTTACAAAATTATGTCGTTAATTAAAAATATTATTGTTTAGGAGTCAAGGGAGTCTGGCGGTTATATCTGATGGTGCTTGGCAGAAGCGGGGTACCGGGAGAGCTTAAAATAGTCTTACAGGTAAATGTACCAAGTATCAAAACCTATACATTGTAGAGACTAATTTGTCACATGGACAGTGGTGGTCCTGACATCGTATTGAGTCATTGACAAATTTTGTTTCCATCACAATTGAAATCAACAATTGATATCAGCATTTTATATTTACAGGACTTGCCTCTCTGTTGGAGAAAAATCGAAGAAAATAGTCATTTTTTCAGTGTAGGGAAAAAAGTAGGGTATGTGCAGCTGCCAAATTAAAGAGTAATTCTCCCAGGCAACACAAGTGCTGTAAGAACTCAACTGGATCAGCAAAGGTTATGGTTTTCAGCCTGCCATGGCCTGTGAGATGTTGGAGATCGAGAATGTAGGGGGAAAGGTAAGAACATCAAGAACAAAAACAAACCAACAATTTTTAAAAAAACGAATTGTACAATATTAAATCAGTCAAAACATAGCAATGTAATTTGCTGTACAACATATTAAATTTCTTTAAGTAGATACTGTGATTATGGACAATGACTCAACTACCATGGCAAGAGTGAAAGATAATGTTGATCCCAATATGAGCAAAAGATCCGACAGTAATCACACAAAGAAGGGATTTAGTGGTGTATTAGTAGAACTGAGCAGCAAGCTTAAAGTTTTCAGTTGTAACATAACTTTATCTATGTCCTATGCTGGTGTTACTGAAGTAGAAACAGTATTTAATTGTTTGTATTTGAGTGCATGCCTGAAAAGAAGAATGTTGCATTGGTATAGCCGTTTTTGTATTTGTGCGGACATATTTCAATTATTGATGAGTTGTAAAAAATGCATTTAAATGATTTTTTAAAGACAGATTTACTTGTTATGTTTTATAATGCATGAAAATGGTATAAGAGTGTGATTTTTCTTTTAAATATGTTTGTTACTGATATTTTAGAGTTGAATTTGTTTGATCGGCAAGGGGGTATACATGATCTAGAAGGTGTAGATAATTAAAAAGCCTGAAAAGTACTAATTTTTTGGGGCTTTTTAGTTGCAACAGATATAAATCTAATATTTTAAATGAAAAAAGAACGTGTTTATCCATTACTTTATGAAAAAATGTGTAAAAATGACGATATTGTAAAAAAATTTAAAGCACCAAATTGATATCATATTGGAAAAAAACGTTATATTATAAAATAAATATTCATATATGAGACTGGTTATGCCTTTCCTACATATTAATGAATAAATAAATACATTTGAAAGTAATTTTGCTTTGATATTGCTTTTGATATGAGCCATATATTGAGCGTGGATGAAAAAGTGTCGTGAAAGAAGGCGGTATACGTCATTGAGGCACTCTAATTTGAAAAATAACATGAAAAGTTATTTATTTTTTGTGCTTTTTATTTAGATTAAGTATCATTCTAATAATTTCAATAGAAAAAATACCATTTAAACCATTAAATCTCCTGGGTAGGGACCTACCTTAAAGCGAAATACTTTATTGATACCCGGAGAAATCTGCAACGTCAAAAAGACGAATGTCATAAGTTCATAATTTTGGGGAAACTATTCCAATTTCCAGAATCAAATTCTGTAATAAAGTACATCAAACAATTATAATAGTTGTGTATGTAAAATATCTTATTTACTATGACATCATAAAACATTTGAACAGGTTTACAAAGCATGTACAGGTATAAAAAAAATTGAAACCCTTTATTTTAGGGGCTTTTCGTCTGTTTTCTCTAATGGAGTCGCACAATACTAGTGGCACTCTAGCCAAATTCTTAAGCCTGTCTTTATTTTGTTTCATTTATTAACATGCATAGGGAATCCAATTAAATCATATTAAATATTAAGGACAAGAAAACCTTTCCGTGTCTACCAAATAAGTATAACTTGTTCATTTCTGTAGGAGTGAATTCGGGATCAAAACACTTGATCACAGTCCAGTACACCGCCTGTGCCAACACAGTCCCTATTTTTCAAAAGTCAGATTTCAATCAGGTGTATATTAAACGTAATAAAATTAATATTTGTTAAAACATTAATTAACACGAAATTTTGAAGAAATATAGTTAATAATATAATATTAAGATTTTTCATTCCCATTCAAAAATACAGAGTAGTACAGGTAATTAAAATCCGTAGAATTTAAAATATAATATAATACCGATTTTTAATTGCTACTTTTTGGTACTGTGACGCCTTTCTACTCGAGACAATGAAATGTTTCATGTAAATAGGGTTATACTGAGTAATTACTCCATATTTGTCCATTTATTAGTGTTGATTTAATCTATGTACGAAGCTTCATTAATATATGATATCAAGTTCCTACAAAACAACACTTGTCTTGGAATGAAAATAAAACTGTTTTGGAACGCTTGGAATTTTTGGACAACCTTCGTACATGCATATTTTAAACTTCAATTTAAAGTAAAAGCGGTAACTTGTGTTTTGATATTTTAATTTCATTTGACTTTGCTGTTTTTAAATTTTTTGTGTATGTTTTTATTTTTGCGTTTTAGGCATATGAGCCAGGAAAGATTCAACTATTATCGAGTCAACTTACTTTGAAGCAAGAAATAAATTAGAGGAATACGTTTTAAGTTTCTTATAATGTTTGTAATTATAGGCCTGTTTAGTACAGAATTTCTCACCTCACCTTTCCTGCAGACCTAGGTAACGAAAACTGTTATGTGTTTAATTTGGCATAAAGATTAAAATTTATAATTTAAGATTACCTAAGATTTGATTTAGCGCTTTTTGAATGTTCTTTATATACTTAATATGTAGTGATATAAATTATTTATTAGAAGCTGTTCACTGAGAAAGGCGCAATATAGATTACATCGTAAAATGTGTATTTACAGCAAATATTGCTTTTTTCAAAGAGAGACATCGGTTAAAAAAAGATTCTTGCAAATGAAATCTGCACTAGTACAAACAAAAGAAAAAAAATAGTACTGATCTACTGGAAAGCTAAGAATATACAAAAAGCCTATTTAGGCATTATCAAAGTCTTTTACATCAATACATGTTAAGCTGAAAATTGTTCAAGTTTATTTTTCTGTGCTAACAAATACTTAACTAAGGTAGTTTTAATGATTATCACAAATTTGAATATCAGTTGCGGAGACTCAAGACAGATTAAGAGTTTAAACCTTTGTTACAGAAAAATGGCCCGTGTCACATATTTGTTTACATAGGTTAAACATACCAATATGCAGATTTTTTTCAAAAAAGATGCTAATTCTAAATACCATTAGACAGTTTTTAATGATTTACTAAATCTTGTTTTGTTAAAAATATGATATTTTCTATATATATGTAAATAAAAACAAGGCACGATCTTGTTTATATTATGGAACATTTTAAAGTTCTGTATATCATTTTATAAATCAACAAATGATGTTTAAATTTTTGCTGATTATAAGAATGGCCTTGATTACGAATTATGAACATTAAAATCGGTTTTAAAAAATCAGTTGAAATTGTGTGCATGTAACTTTAATTGACAAATTGGTTTAATGAATTAAAGAATTCAATCCACAAAATGCCTTATTTGGCCTTGCAAATAAGTAAATTTTGAAAAGGGCATTAGTAAATATGTTTTGAGTTATTATCAACCTAGAACATTGACACATTTCACATGTGCAACAATTTCGTCAAAACCGGATGTTACAATGTCAAACTAAATTCTAAAACGGAGCATGTTTCGAGGTTTTCCGGAAAATTGCTCAGATTTTACATAATGAATCGTGAATTTCACATAGAGCACAGTCGTTACCGCAAAATATTGAAACAGAAAAATAATTAAAACTGTTCGACAAATAATTTCCAATGAAAATATTTTGCGGTAACGAGCGTGCTCATGGTGAAAAAAAAATAAAATAAAATGTCAACGCGTGTAAAAATGCTATGATCATGAACCACCATATTTGTCTTTGTCTTTTATACAAACTTTAAAGGATCAATTAGAAAGGTGTATAATATTGATTATGTACAGTCATGTAAGTGGATGGACACTCATATCACACAAGTAAGAAAATGTTAACTGAGGCACCTATAGACACGTCTGACTACTGGAATAAATATGATGGCTTCAGTCTTAAAACATAATTTATCCGTAAAAAAATGCCGATTTATCGACAGTTCTTTTTCCAAAATTAGATTGATTTACAGACAAGTACAACTTTCAACTTACTATGTGTATGACTATCGCAAATATAAACTTTCATGTCAATTATTATGTTTGTTTATGACTGTGACGAGTATAAGAAATTAGAGTTAAATCTAAGCTTTGTTATCAGGAATCGGTAATTTTTTTTAGAGTGACAGTCAGTGGTTCATTGGTAGGTCATAGGACATCAAATAAATAGATAACACACATGGTGATAGAAAAAAGCAGTCGATTGTTCATTGAAGGCAATAAATGTGGCAAAGAATTTAAAAATTACATTTCTGAAATCAAAGGAAAACAAACTTATGAGTTCACAGTTGTACATGACGTTACTCGGTGTACGTCATTTGTGACGTCATAATAGTGCAGTAATTGGGAATCAGTGGCAGGGAGAAATAGGGAAAATTCTTTTTTTTTTTTTAAAGATATACAGTTTTCTGTCGCTTTGTTAAATTCATTTAATTGAAACGGGAAATTATCTACTATTAAAAAATTTAACAACTCTGTAAACTGGATTCAACGTAGAACTCGTGTGTGTGTTTGTAAACATTTTAATGCACATGTTCGCTTTAACAAATCCCCACGTCGATGCATATACAATACATATATTTGTATAAGTATCACATGTAGCAGCAATATATATTAATCAGTTTTTTTTATTTCAAAACCTAAGAAACATTCATTTCACTACATAAAACCCGCGTGGATAATTTTTATGCACTTGCATAACGTGAAAAATAATTTTTAGCTTTCTTCAAAAGTATTATGAAGAAGTGGTTCCATTTTTGTTTGCAGAAACAAGAGCTGAATTTAAAATATATTACCCTAAATAGTGTTTATTATCATTCATAAAAGAACATCAAATCAAAGATCCTTCTTTAGCCACTATAGTGTTTTTCATATCAAATATTGATTATTCTGTATTTTAATTTTTTTGCATGTAGATCAACGTTCAAAATTGCCTCTGCATTGTTATGGCTTAGGGTGGGGGGGAAAGGTGGAGTAGGGGGACTATGACTTCCTCTGCATTTAATATCTGAAAATCGCTGGATCCGCTACTACGAAGATTAGTACTTTATCACTATACGATTAGAAGAGGTCACGGGGGGGGGGTCCATGCTTTGACATAAATTATACGTTCATTACATACAATTATATGAGCATTATTGTGAACTACAGGACTTGTCTAAAATATACTTCGAAATAATATAATTTACTGTAACATTTTCTTGAAAAAATATTTTTAAAAGATAGAACTTTGTATATGTTCGTCCTTTGTATATACCCCCCCCCCCCCCTTCTTTCTTTTCTGAAATTGCTTACTACGACCATAAATGTGTTTTCTATTTCAAGAAAAACTGAGACCATTTTACACTTTCCTCTTATAAATGCTGTCTATAATAAGGTCTTATTGAGGAGCCTCTTTCGGGTAAAATCAATCTTTCTCTGTAAGTATTAGTAAAATGTTAATGTCTGTGCTTGTATTTCACTTTTTATTTTGACACGTATTTATAAGAATTACATACGCATGGAAATCATAATGTGAAAATGAAATGGACAGTGATAAACGATAAGCTAGCAATGCACAATTTAAAAAAAACATAATAAAATTATTACATGTAAGTCAATCGATAACAATGTATTAACAACACACTACAAATACCGTACTCCATACATAAATTAATTTACTGGATTAAACATGACCCATCGATTGGCTGGTTCGCGAAGATGAGAAAAAATATCTGTGAGATTGAGGTGTGCGCGAATCTCGCGGATATTTCTCGCTTGCCTGTGAAAATTTATTAACAGCTGAGGCCTAATATTCGCGAGTGCTCGCCAAGTTATTAAAAATGTATAGAAAAAAGGTCCTTTCAACTATTGTGTACATGTACTTCTTTTCAAGTAATGTACTGGTATTTAGATCTAGATTTTTATCGCAAATCTCGCTTCAAAGTATACACTCCGGCCTAAATAGCGTTGCGTTGTGTGATGATACTGTTGGATCTGACAATTGAACAATTTGAATCACGGATTTTGTTTTGTAAAACAAGCGTTTTAATTGGTTGATTAGGACCCGCCCACTCTCGCGCGGAAAGCGTTGTTGACTTTCTGAAAAAAAAAAACAACAAACAAACTATAAAAATTTTTTTAGCATGTGATATATTCCTTACGCATGCAGACGATACATGGATATCATTCGATGGCACAGTCGAACACTATTTCATTTCATCCTACATGTATTTCTGCCGATTTCCTATTGACGACATTTTACACTTTAGGTGTTTTTTCTGTGCGACTTTTCAGTGCATTAAATTTTTTTTTCTATGTTTTAGTCATAAGTGAGCTATTTCATTGCGTTGGCAAACACAAATTTAAAACGGGGTATTACTGGAAATCATGTAATTACCCAGCTGATAGCGGACAACTTGTTATTCAGTGGGAAAAAATAAATTCATAATCATAGGTGGCAAAACGCGTAAAACATCGGATTTTTTCAAAAGTTTACTGCTTTATTGTCAATACTGTCAAAAATACCATATTTTTTAAATGCATCTGTGCTAATACGTTCCCATTTCAACGGTCGCCATGGCAATAAACATGCGACCAGAAAAATCTAGATTTTTGTTCTTTTTTGCGGGAAGTGAAATTTTTACTGTTATGGCGAATGTTATTCATTAAAAATATGAAATATTACTTATAATTCGTGTTAAAAATAATTAATGTAACAACATTTACCAAATCTAAATACGTTTTATTTTTATTGGTGCATTGAAGAAAAACAAACGAGAAACGCCAACGGTTGTGTTCATGTGCCCCGAGAACATGCACCTGATATAACATGACATGACTGCTGCCAGCTCTGGAACATATCGTATTTGAAGATCATTATACAGATTACCCACATTCACAATAATTAATAAGGTATTGTAAAGTTCTATTAAATTCTTAGCTCAAAATATACCACTTTTTTGCCCGTTTTCTACAGCTGTTCCATTTTACTTCGAAACATTCCAATTTTCGGCTTTACATTTGAAAAAGTGGGCGGGCCTATAAAAAAAGCACCAATCAGATTCTTTGTTGGATTGCGCAATCGAAAGTCAGTAATCTTCAATTGTATTTCAGTCATATTCATCAGTATCGTCACTCAACGCATCACAATATCGGCCGAAAGGTGTACTTTCATGCAAGATTTGCGATAAAAGGCTGCAGTATCAACTATTTTATGGATCTAAAACTACAGCAGTGGAAGTAATTTCCAATATTTTTTTTCTAATTCTATTCATTCAGAATTATCATCTTTATTGATTATGAAGTTGATAAGATAAATATAAAATTGATTCTAATTATTGCATTTTAAAAGTCATATATTCCTATATATCTTTGCATTGTAATAGCCAGGTCATTCTATCGCTAATTGACGTGACGTTACATTACAAAAAATGACGTTCCTAACGCATTTTTCTATTAAAACATTGCCATATTGCAAGACCTCGTTTTTAAAAAGTATAATAGATATTGAAAAAAGAAAAACGGTTATGAAAAGCTTAAAGTCTATACTATCTTTGATAAAAATCGCGTTAATATCCTGCAAGAGGCATTTTTTGATGGTTCGAGGACTTTGCTCTTTATTATAACACTTTTTAAAATGTCATAACGAAATAAGCATTTTATAACATATTGTCTGATTTGTTATAACAAATTCACAATAATTATTATCATGAAGAAGCTTTATATAATGAAATTCTAAAATTTGTTATGATAAATTGAAAAAGTTTATACAAATTGGATAATCAATGTCACCTTTAGTCTATACTTAGACTTCCAGACCTAACAAAAACATTTATCATGGGAACAGATGCGTCCAAATTAAACAAGATGCTGTTCTGATGCAAGACCCTTACAGAAAGACGTATCCAGTCGCATCTGTTAGTTGGTAGCTGTTCGTTAGAGAAATAAGGTATTCAGTAATAGAAAAAGAAATGTCGTACTTTAATTTGGGCCTAAAAAGAGTTCAAGCTTATTTTTGGGTAATTATAATAGAAATTTCTCACCAACCTTTAGTTTATCTTCAGTAGGCAAAAGTAGCAAATTCTCCAATGCTGTGTGGAAAGGTAATGCTTTACTTGGTACCTGTGCAGTCCATTTAAAACGTGGGGCTTTTGTTTTGGTATTTGTAAGAGGATGTGAGTCATTACAATTAAGTAAGTGTTGTTTTCTTTTTTTTAGTTCTTGAAGTTTGTTTTAACAAAAGTATTTGTATGTTGTATTCAATTTGTGTAGATGTAAAATAACCGTTATACATGTATTGATCGTATTTTTGTCAAATATATATAACTGTTAGTATTGAAAATAGAAGATACCGACCAACAAAGTTTATTGTATGAAATTTTATAATATTTCAAAAAGATGAATTTTTATTAGACGTACATAGTCCATCTCTAATGTTGTTCTATACGTTTTCAGACAACTGGCTTACCGATATTTTTTTCATACTTCCGTCGATAATCTGTTCTTCCGGCCAACACGTAGTATGGAACATCGTGGGTGGTGATGGTAAATGGTAGTGATGGCTGATTCTCTTGTACCTTTACTTCAATTTTGTTGTTTATTTGTAAATAAATTGTTATTGTTATATAGTCTTGATTCTTCTTGATTGGCATTGACAATGGTCATTTATTTGATAGATTTATCCATTCGAAAGAACCAAAAACATTTCAGGGAAAAGGGAAGATTCAATAACTCAAAATTCTTTTTGAATTGTCGTAAATGGCTACCGTATAAGAGCCATGTATTAATCAAATTGTTTGAAAACGTTGTTGTTGTTTAACGTCTCTCTTGAGGATTTTTAGTTAGTAGAGATATCACCACTTGCCTGTGGAGGGCTGCAAATTTATACTTATGCTCGGCACTCAGAGACATTAAGCAGTGAGAGATCTTATTCGTACCAACACATAGAGTGATAATTTCCATTTGAAGTGAAGCAGGTCCCGAATTGGATTTGACTCCACAACTAAAGGACTGTAGAGCAGACACTCTGACCACTGCGACACACAGGCGATTTGATTAAAGTGTAGTTATTTAATTATCTTTTTCATTCTATGTATGGGTTGAACCCTCAAATTTATTGCTCGATCACCTAAGTCACTGAAATATTCAATGACTCTTTTTAGGTATGCCCAATCATGTAGGTTAATTGCAAAGGTATATGCATAATATTTTTCTAATTAACAATATTATATGTCATTATTAAATAATCAATTTTTGTGATCGCATGATTAATATTAATCATTGTTCAACTGATCCTTAAGGGATTGGGTAATGTGATGTAAGGAAGCATAAGGTTGTTTTCCCCGACCATGCATAAAAACTACAACTTTCTGAGAAAGACGAACTCCACACCTTATCTATGATTAGAAACTAATTATGAGGCGCATTCAGAATTTGGGCTGCAAAGCTTGTTTTTTTTATTTGCTTTACACCCTTCCCGGAGTTATAATCATTCAAATGAAGACTTCTGTACCGATTAGGAAAATGGTAGAATTTTAACATTGGAATTACAGGTAAATGTAAAAATGAAGAAGAAAGGAGATCGACACTAAGATCACAAATATATATTTATCGTATCTTGGTCAAATTAATAGACTATTTGTTAATTAAAAAAACTAAAAACTACGTCAAAGAAATAATGCTGACGACCAAATCCTAATTAACGATTCCAGATTGAAGCAGCTGGTGAGGCAATGGACAAAATAAGTTGTATGTGACACTGACACAAACTTTGAACTGCTATATCAAGTGACTTTTAACATGATTAAATAATAAATGTTTCTCCCCTTATAATTATTTTTATCGCAGCATTCTGTCGGTTTTTTTTTATCTTAAAAATATTTTAATATGAATGGTATATTTGTTATATTCATTATTGATATTTTTTTTAACGAAAATCTAGTTAGTTTTAATCGACACTATATACACTTAAATAGAAAAGAATTATCAAACAAGCAAATTCAAAGAATTGTGGTCCCCCACTTTCGGTGTCTGTGTTGGTGAGATGTTATTTTTTATGACATATTGTGTCTGATATGAACATCCAATCATATGTCATTTCATAGAAATTATCATTGAAGTTGATTTTTTTGAAGGATGAAAACCCTTATCCTGACCGTTCAAAAGTTATGGCCAAAGTTAACGTTTTTTAAAAGTAGGTCAATTCCAAGGTCAAGATCAAGGGGGTCAAAGTTGTTGATGAAAGGTTTTCTCACAAGGATTACATATATGAAGCATTAAAGCCCTAGCCCTTACCGTTCAAAAGTTGTGGTCAAGGTTAAAGTTTTTACATAAGTACGTAAATCTTTAAGGTCAAGGTCAAAAGGTCAAAATTGTTGATATCCAATGAAAGGACATTTCACAAAGAATACATATGTAAAATATAAAAGTCCTAGTATCTACTGTTCAAAAGTTGTGACCAAAGTTAAAGTTTTTTTTAAAGTAGTTAAAACTCCAATGTCTAGGTCAAAGGGTAAAAGTTGTTGGTATCCAATGAAAGGTCTTCTAAAAAATATTACATATGTGAAGTACGAAAGCCCTAGCCCTCACCGTTCCAAAGTTATGGTCAAGGTTAAAGTTTTTCCATAAGTAAGTAAATCTCCAAGGTCACGGTCAAAAGGTCAAGGATGTTGGTATCCAATGAAATGTCTTGCAACAAGGAATACATATGTGAAATATAAAAGTTTCTACTGTTTAAAAGTTGTGACCAAGGTTAAAGTTTTTAAAAAGTAGTTGAAACTCCAAGGTCAAGGTCAAAGGGTAAATGTTCTTGGTATCAAATGAAAGATCTTTTCATTAGAATTATAAATTTGAAGTATGAAAGCCGTAGTACTTATTGTTCAAAAGTTATAGCCAAGGTTGAAGTTTTTTTTATAGAAACGTAAATCTCCAAGGCCAAGGTCAAAAGGGTCAAGGATGTTGGTATCCAATGAAAGGTCTTTCCACAAACAATACATTTGTGAAATATGAAAGTCCTAGTACCTTCCATCCAAAAGTTACGGCCAGAGTAAAACTTTGAAATTTCTGTCTAAAAGTGGGTCAAACTCCAAGGTCAAGGTCAAAAGGTCAAATTTGGTGGTACCCAAAGAAAGGTCTTTTCACAAGGAATACACATGTGAAATTTGAAAGTCATAGCTCTACTAAATCAAAAGTTATGGGCAAGGTTAACGTTTTTGTGACGGACAGACTGACAGACTGACGGACAGACGGACAGATGGACAGATGGACAGACGAATGAGATTTAATGTCCCCTCGCTTTCGCGAACAACAAGCTAAACATTCAGTGACAGAAAATGAAGTTTCTGTTTCAAAGTGCAAAAGAAAAAGGGTTATGTATTGAAGTACCTATTGTTCATGAGGGTATCACCGAGGAATATTCTCAATAAATTAGGCCCATTAAATGCACCTGTGATATAATTTTCATGTCGTAATGACTGTTTGGAGAGAACACCGGTCGGAGTTAACGTATTTTCTCCTCTCTCTTTAACCACTTTGGTACACCCTTGTCAGAATCAGATCATTGGTACCAGAACAGTTTTTATCCAAAATGACAACACAAGAAGAGACACTTAGAACACAAGAAGAGACATCACCATTAAATAATATTAGCTACTTAGACAAACAAACTTACTAAAATCAGCCATATAATTGCTTCCTGGTTTATTATGATTTAGTATTATAATACAGTCAAAAAATGAATGAAACGTAAAGTGTGTCCTTAAGTAATCAAGTGAGTGGATTTTTAAGTAGTTTATTTAAAGTGCGAGAAATGGTTGTTTATATGCTTTTATTTAAGGTTCTCACTCTCGTTTATTGGAAGATCTAAAAGTCGTTAAAGACAAAAAAATCGAGACAAAGTATACTGAATATTTATTTTATAGAAATTCTCTCCCCCAACGTTGTTTTTAATAATAAGTCAATGTCACATAATCGAATGTTTAAATAAAAGATAAAATATATAAATACTTCCTAATATTGTGCCTAAATATGTATAATATCACACAAAGGCTGAAAGTTCTGATACGCAGGCAAATGATTGAACACAGCTTTATATTGTTCAGATTTTTTTTTCCATCACTAAATATGATATTATAAACTGTTTTTCAAAGTTTTGGTACAATACGATGTAAATATTAAACGTAGTACGTCGAATTACTGATGACCTAGAAAATAAATAGTGAGAAAGAACATCGAAATTAAGATCAGGAATAAATATTTATCTTATCAAGGTCAAATAATTAGTTTGTTAAATAATTAACAATTAAAATTTGAATGAATTACAAAAGATATGTCAAAGAAATAATGCTTACGATCAGATCATAATATATGTTACTAGTTTGAAGTATTCAGTAATACAGAAGGTCATTACAAATTGTATCTCATGACTGACACAAAAACAAATTTACCAAAAAGTGCTTTTTAAGATACTTTGTAATTAAGTTAACGTGTTTCTAAAAATTGTTATTACTGCGGTATTCTATCGAATAAAGGACAAGATAGGGTAAGACCAGTATTTGGCCCCCGATTTTGGGTGTCTTTCAGAATTATCCAACAGTTTATCCATAGAAACCTGTTGTCACCCCTGCCACAAAATGAGTATTGGTTTTAAGATTTAGAATATATAGGAGTCACAGTGGGGTAAGGAAACAGGTCAATTCTTGACATTTCTCATTTTTATGCAAATTTTTATCAATTTTATAGCACATTTTCTTTCGGAAAACATAGAGCACACGCTTGCCTATCTACCAAATTTATATAATTTATACACTAATATCAGATGCAGTTTTTGTATAAAAATCTCAGATAGGCAAGCTTGTGCTCTATGTTTTCCGAAGAGAAATGTATCCCAAATATGATGAAATTCCACGAGAATTTAGGAAATTCTGGATAATGCCCTATTTCTGACCTCTCTAGTGGCTTCCATGTAAGCTTTGAATCAAAATTGGTGCTTGTTTTGAAGTAAGCATCATTTTAACTTCTTAACTACAAACTATCACAATTTTACCAGTGTTCTGATTTTTAGATCAAATACGGGGCCAGATTCGGCTGTTACCCTATCTTGTCCTTTACTAAAAGAATATTTGTATGACATATTTGTTATGTTATTTTTTTTTAATTCATTACATAAATTAGTTATTTTGCCCAAAATATTTAACCTGCTAAATTAGTAAAAAAAATCAATTACGTTAATCATTGAGTGACATAAAAAAGATTTTCTGTTTCAAAGTACAAAATGAAAAGGCTGATGAAATGACGTATCATCTATATATAAGTACATGAGAGTCCATGAGAGCATCATTAAGAAATATTCTTAATAAATCACGGGTAAAGAAATGTACCTCTTAGTTATTTTTCATATATTAATGACTGGAGAGAACACTATTAAACTTGTAAGAGTCAATGTTTCTTTTATGCCACATAACCATTTTAGTACACCCCTGTGATATTTAGGTCATACTTTTATTAAAATAGAAATTTTCTAAGATGTCAGCATTTCAGTCCACAAGATGAGTCCTCACAATCAAATTACATTAGCTGCTTAGGCAAACAAAATACTTACAACATTCAACATTCATATAATCCATTCCTGCTTTATAATTTTTTGTATGATGATATTAAAAATAAATGCAATGTAAAGGTGTATAGTTAAATAAACAAAAGGTTGATTTGTAAAATAGTTTGTAAAAACAGACACGTATTCTAGGGCCACTGATTTGCTTTTATTTTAGATCTGATTGTTATTTATAGACAAAACTGTACAAAGACAAAAAATTATAGCAAAGCAGATAAAAATCAACTGGGTATTCCTAGAAAGGATTTCCTCTCAACTTACATACTTTATTGAATAGTCAGTTTAAAATTGTAGGATCTTAAAAAAAAATAGCATTATAGCAAAAACAAATTTCCTCATAGTGTGTCAAAACAGTATGATATTAATATATATAAAATATCACACAAAGTCTGAAAATTTTACACTCACGTTATTGACATAGTTAATTATCCACAGACCTGTATTGTTTAGTAGTTTTTTTTTTCAGATCAACTCCTGTTCCTTCACATTTTAGTAATGTACTCATTAAAGTGCTCAAAAGTACTACAAAAAAAAAGAAAACTATTTAAAAAGGATCTCTGCGCTTCATTACAAAATTTGCCGAAGAACAAATATGAAAATTGTAGTTTTTGATGATAGGAAAACCAAGGCTTTCCCGCTAATGAATGTTTCAATTTTAAATAAGATAAAGAAATATGGAGAGGATTACATATTCCATGTCTATTTGTTACGATAGATTTGATAATCTAACAGCAGTTTAGATGTTCCTAATCAATCAGGAAGGATATGGAGATAACGAACAGTATTCAGTCTCAAAGTCCATAAAACAATGCAAAATAAGAGCAGAGCAAACACGAACCCCCTAAACATCAGAGGTGGGATCAGGAAGCATGGAGGAGTGAGCGTGCCCTTGTCATGATAAGGAAATAACGGAAAAATCCGTCGTCATTTCAGTGTATAAATAATGGACTAACAATTGGTATGAAGAGCGTAAGTCAGCATTGGACTCAATGATAAATGGTATTTACTGTCAAGGTCATTGTATCGACCATAGAACTTACGAAATTTAAACGAAACTGCTGATGAATAAATAAATAAATAAACTAGAGGTACTGTGAGCAATGAGCTCACTAAAGGATACCCCCCGTCTCCCATATGAATATAATAGCAGTGTCCATGTTCTGCTTTGGAAAATCAAAAATACATGTCAGATCAAAAAGTAAAATAGGAGGTGCACAATGGCAATATGTAATTAAGAATCTGTGAAAGTTTCATTAAATTTCCTTCAGTGGTATGAGAGGAGTTGCGGATAAGAGATGGGTACCCCAAAGCGTAACAGACGGACGGACAGACGGACGGACGGACGTACAGACGGACGGACGGACAGACGGACGGAAATACCGATTACTATATACCCTCCCACTTTTCAAGCGGGGGGTATAATAAATAATCTTTACATATTACAAATTCCAACTGCCGACTTTCTTTTCATTTATTCATGGATAATTGCTACAGAATAAACAGATTTTTTTGGTTTGTTAACATGAAATGTAAAAAAAAAAACCAACAGAAATATATCCGTCAAGGAAAAATACATTATAGTTGGAGTTGCTCCTTTTAGGCACGGCATCTCTTCTCTGGAATTTCCAGCTGTCCGTGATTATTTCCTCTTAATATATTTTGTGGATTTTATTGAAATCGATCAATAACCCTAATGTTTACCTTTCACTTATAAGAGAGAGAGAGAGAGAGAGAGAGAGAGAGAGAGAGAGAGAGCACTCGCGCTCACCGACTTGTGGGGAACTCACACCTGACAAAGGACCTTTCTTATGGGGAAAGTTCAGAATTGTGGGGAACTCTCTCGTTCCCCACAAATATGGTCATGGGGTTTTTTGAATTCTACGTGTTCTACTGATAATATTTATTCGATTTGTGGTCATTTTTGAAAAAATCCCCATAAGTCCGTAAAATTGACTCGCAGTAATTTTCTCACTGCACCGTAAAACGAATGTTTGAGGATGCTGGGAAATGTTCATTCGGAACGCAGCGGAATTCAAACTGGTCCCCATATGATACCAATTTATTGCGGGCAATGGCTGCTCCGAGAATATGTGGTAAGTAGATTTTTTATCATATTTTAAAGATATTATAGGCTGAAAACTTAATTTAACTACGTAAATCATGCATGCAGTTATTTCTTACAGACGTTCGTAAAGTAACATTTAATAATGAATGCACGTAAAACTTTGGGGAAGTTTGACCCGACCTAGACCTCGGTTATTTTTTTTTTTAATTGTATCTTGTTTATAGGCCTAATGGCTATCCTGTAAGAACAAACTACGGATTTATATGAATTCAGCACCCCCGGGATATGGTAAGCGTTTAAGGCTTGTCCCCATTTTTTGTGAAACGCGACTATCCTCCTCATGCCCATACAAATTATGCTAGACGGTGCGACTGTCTGGTCTTTAGCTGTTTAGTGAGGCCTGTGTGGGCGAATTAATTGTAAAAGTTAATCTGACTTAAACTGTACGTGTATTTATAAACGATGTCAGTCACACACTGACTCAGTGTCAGAAATGTATCACAGAGAACTCCACCTTTTCAAAAGGTCCATTGAAATCAGTACATTTATAGATTTACGTAGCTAAAATTTCTTAGCATGGTTAGATTATTTAACATGTTTAACATGTTTAATTCTTCCAAAAAAAGCTTGATTTAGTTATCGTTTTTTTATCAAGTCATTCTTCCTACTTGTATATATTTCTTCGCATGCGTTGGTTTGCATAGTGTCCATTTGCCTTCATTATCTTTCACCTGCACCCTGTTCTACATTCATCCTGATTGCCCTACTGAAAATATTTTCATGATTTTAGACCATCATTATCGATGTATCATTGTTAGTATTGTTTCAGTCAAAGTACTACTTTATCCTTATATTGGAGTTGAGCCCAAAGTACTACTTTATCCTTATATTGGAGTTGAGCCAAGTATTTTTTTTTATTTTGCTAAGGCCAAGATAAATAGATAGTGTTTCCTATTTTAACCTTAGAAAAGATAGGGTAGGTAGGTAGGAAAAACATTTTTATTTTATTTTAACATTTTATTGGCAGGCACGCTGCCACTTTCCCCCAGGATTTCACTGTCAAAATATTTCTGATTAATATGTGTAAGATATGCATTTCTCAAACATGGAAGTGATCAAGATTGGGATTTCATTTCTAATTGTAAACTGGAATTCCGAATACTGTAATATGTGTATATAATTTGGTGCTTTCAAAATTTAGCATAATCACTGGGTTGGCATAATCATAAATTAGCGCTACACATGTATGTGTGGTGTATTGTATATATCAATATGTAAATGATTTCTTAGCAGTATTCATGAATTAGTGCATTGTTGTCTGCACCAAAGCCGCTAAAATATGAAGCCTGCATTTTAAAGTATACATACAGTAGTTTACTCATGGAAAGATATTAGCAGAAAAAATATTGAGGGTCGGCTCCTATACTTCTTAGAGTTAGGCGGGGAACTAAACATGCTGAAAACACACTACTTATTTATTTAGGCCCAATTAAAATGTCTAATAAATTCATTTTAATTAAATACTTATTGTTAATTAAAGATCACCTTTTATTTTTAAAATTTGTTACAATTCAAACCTTGGCCTTGGGGTTTAGATGCTGATGGAATAAATAAGAAACAAAATCATATGTAAAAAAATAACTAAAAATCCTTTTCAAAACCTCAATTACTATTGAATTATGATTGGGCGTGGTATACAAAATAATGCGAATTGGAGGAAATGGAGAAACATAGTAATAACAATTAGATCAGCTTTTATGATAGCGAGCATATTAAAAATTTAAAATTGGTTATAAAATTGAAAGGTAATGTTGAGATTTTAAGATTCAATATCTATTATTCATAATTATTTATATTTGCTTAACTGAATTTATACCTTTTTAAATTTATTTACATATAACGATCGCGCTCAAAGTTTTGGGTCTGATAATGCTTCCTGATTTTGGTCTTTTATTTTTTTTTTTTAAGAAAACCATTTGATTTCTGCACCCACTCCTCCTTTCTAAAAATTTTTAATCTGCCTCTGGTAACTTTACGCTGTAAATTTCTATTCTCATTTTAATTAAATTTAAATAAATACTAACAGCACTATCATGCAATTTCAATGACTATCATTTAAGGTATTGATTCAGTTTTCTGTCATTCCTAAAAATAAGTTGTACTGTATCGTTGATTTTTTGCATATAAAACAGTTTCTGCTCATCAAACATCCACGAGAAAGTGTTCTGTTTCGCAGTTATTGTACGGTTGATTTAAAAGGGAAAGCTCTCTGGGCCATGTCACAAGAAGGAAAAAAGTAAAATATTTTTCATACCTACCTACCCACTGTTAACAATATGGTTCAGGAAAGGGCATACATTAAGTCTTAATTTTGGCATGCCGCATGGGGTCAAAAATTACTATTGAGTGATGTGGAGATATACCTGTCTTGTAATTATAGGTAAAGATATGAACACTTTAAAAAAAATATACAATGAAATCTTTGAACTGAAAGCAAAATTATCATTGCAGGTTTTCGGGTTTTCACCACAAGAGCAAATTATACAACTTTATTCTTGAAAATGTTAGAGACTGAGACTTGGAGTCAAAGTCAACAGACACGCTTGCATGGACATGAAGGATGTAAAGAACTAGAGTATTATAACTGAAAGCATTTTGTCTGGATTTGTGTATGGAAACAGAAGGATTTAGTATTGGTAAGTCAAGATAGCTGTAAAATCTCATTTTGAACTCTATATGTGAGCAGTACTGTAAACCAACTACCAGGTAGTACACATGTACCCTATTTGTGTCATCTTTTATTTGCATATCTAATCTGTGTTGATTAATTTCCGTGACTAATGAAAGGAAACATTCTCTACAAATATAAAGCAAAATTAATAGTTCAGGGCAATTAATAATTTACTATTCACTAGTAAATGTAGGTCATGAAACTGGCAAATATTTCTTGCACTCAAATAAAAGTTGGTTTACAGTACTTCCGTTGCTCTAAAAACAGAAATAATAAAAAAAAAAGCATGCTGATATCATGTATGTTATGAAGCCTAATACATGTACATAGAAGTATATAAACCGGTATATCTAAAATAAAAAAAAAAAAATTTGGTCCTTGTTCATGATTTCAAAGTAGGTTAAAAGCCTCATGAACATGCTGAGAAGTTGTCAGAAAATATACATGTGTGCTAACCATGCTAACTGTGTAACAATAATCAGAAAATTTTACAAAATATAATCAAAATTTGGTTAATAATAATTAGTCATTGGCCAATTAAATCCATCAATGATTAAATTAGTACTTATATATACTGTCTCCTGATTTTATGACTTTTTATCCTTTTCAACATACTTATTATTTTTGAATTGAAAACATTTTTTTTTACCTGAGAAAATTAAAATTTGCAATTTGTTTTAAATCTAGTGAAGGAAAACAAATGTTTTTAAAATTAATGTGCTTTGATTTAAAAGACTTGTAAACATTAGATTAGTAATACATGTAGTTTCAATACAATTATTAATATTGATGATTGATTTTTTTTAAGATTTGATAGTTATTTTATTTGTTGAAAAATAATTTTTATCTGTAATGTTCATGTATAATAAAATAATGCATTTCCCAATAAGTGATAAATGTTTCCCACAAGTCAGCAATATACACTGAAGTGTACATTTATTGGTTGGGTTCAAAGGCAACATTTATATGGAAACAAAGTTTTAAGGGTAAAGCAATGGTCAATACATGTGTATTCCTCACAAGTGAACAGTGAGAAATATTCCCCACAAGTCAGCAGTGATAAATATTACCTAAAATTGTTAACTGTGAGAAATATTCCCCACAAGTCAGCAATGTTAAATATAACCTACGTGAGAAATATTCCCCACAAGTCAGCAGTGATAAATATTCCCCACAAGTCACCAATGAAAAGTATTACAAGTTAACAGTGATAAATATTCCCCACAAGTCAGCAGTGATAAATATTCCCCACAAGTCAGCAATGAAAAGTATTACAAGTTAACAGTGAGAAATATTCCCCACAAGTCAGCAGTGAGAAATATTCCCCACAAGTCAGCAATGAAAAGTATTACAAGTTAACAGTGAGAAATATTCCCCACAAGTCAGCAATGATAAGTATTACCTACAAGTCAACTGTGAGGAATATTCAATAACAACATACAATTATTTTAACCCATTCTCAATCAAATTTGGGGAGTAAATTGGAATTAGCATGTCTGTCTATCTTTCTATAGGCATTACATATTGAGGGATAATGGTGGCATTATTTTTTTAGGAAATCTCACATCAACTTCCTGTTTATCTGTGCGTGTAAATTTTTATGTTTTTTTTTTTCAGCAACTACTATGGTAGCAAGAAGTTTGAAATTTTTTAACACTCTTTGTCGAGGCATATTATATACTGGTAGTGAGATTCATTTTTATGCAAATTCGATGTCAACTTCCTATATATCCACGTGTCTCGAGATCTGTACGCAATTTTTGTTGCAGTTTTTTCACCAACTGACTATCACAGATATAAAAATGTGGTACATGTATCCATTAGATTGAACCCTAGCAATAAAAATCCTGAGTAGCATTCTCTACTGAGACTAGCAAGCTAACCACTATGCTACACAAGTCCTGATGAGGATTGGCATTTAAATCATGTTTGTGATATGACCATTGACTCAGTGGACTTCAAGTTTTTCTCGAAAAGATACAAAAGTTATATCATAAAATTATAATTTTTTAAAAGGTTTATTGGGTTTTTACTCCATAATTTTGGAAATCAAAATAGTATATTTCATTTTGTATGCAAACTTTGAGGATAAACTTGAAAAAAAAAGTGGAGTGAAGACCCACTCATACATTTCAAAACATTGTTTTAAAAAGTGTGTAGTGTTGTTATGATAGTCGCTGACTATCGAAAAATCGTCGTTTAAAGGCCCAGATTGGCGACAATCGATTGTAAATATTATCATCGATAGATCACTATATTTTTCAAGCCGTATTTCTCAAGCCGAGCAGGTTTAACTTTTATATTCACCAAAGGGACATCACTCTAATCAGCAGTAAACAAAATGAGAACGTGCATGGTGAAGAGGTTATAATTATTATATCCATATCCTGGTGCATTGTCTTTTTAAAATACTTCTAAGGATGAATAAATCTAACCTTTTATAACATTTAAAATTATCAATTATATAATTATATAAGTGATTGTGTTCTTCCGATTCAATTTGATAATAGTAAATTTGTCCAATTTTACAACACTAAAAGTGTGAAAAAATGACTCAATTTGCCCTTTTTCGCGTGTGTATTATATTTTACAGGCCAAAAACTTCAATCTTCATGAGATATGTATAAGTTGTAGAGATTTGACAGATTTACATAAAGTATACTTTAATTTTAGATGAAATATTTCGGAAAATTTTGATACAATACTTGATATCGCGATTACTTAACTTAGCTGAACTCTTTCATGAAGGAGGTAGGAATCATCTGTTGGGTGGGAGCAATGTGCTATTCAATACAATTAATGCAAGATCGATCATTGTAGCATTTATAAGGACAGATAAGTAAAAAATCCTGGTGGAATACCTCGCTAGACAATCGCTGAACCAGCCTTATACATTTTTGAGAGGAGCCAATCCTAAATTGTCACATTTTTAAAGATATGTTTAATTAAGCGGACTCTTATAGTTAAATTTTCATTGAAAATCGTCACATTTTTCAGTATATAAAATATTCTTAACTTTCCTTATTTGACAATCTACTATTTGGAATTCAATATCTGGCAAAACATCGTGATTTTGGCATTAAATTGTTCGAATCATTCGATTGTCACTAATGTAAACAATGTCATTTGCCCCCAGAAATTTAGACTTTTCTTGACTCCCTCGCAAAAGAGCGGAGGTAAGTTAGATAACTGCGAGGTACTCATTGGTAGTCGCGACATAACATATTGAGATTTAATTTTTTCACCTTCATGTTTGTTGCGCTATAGGCTTATCGCTCGTTATGTTCTCGGACTCCCATCTCATTTATCATCCAATAATAAAAATACATTTCCAAAGCATGTGAATTATATTTAGATGATAATCAAATACATATGATAAACAATAGATAAAAATTGATATTTTTGTCCTTTCTACTCTTCATGCATATATAACATGTATAAAGTCCACAACAATAAAATGATTCATTTGATTTTTGTTAGGATTTGTTCATCGACATCCAACATATTGTTTACATGTTTATGTTACGTTTGTCCCAGAAATCCTGAAAGATTTGTACACTCTGCAACTTTTTTACAGAGGAGCGCACTAAAATCTTAAACTCTTCCATAGTTGAAATAAGACGTATTGGTAAATAGATTTTGCCCTGTAGTCCATCTGGCTGTTTGTCCTCAAAAACTTTAACCTTGCTCATAACTTTGGAGTGAGTGGGGCTATGGCTTTCATATTTCACTGCTGTAAACTTGTATTTCTTGTGACAAGACCTTTCTTTGGGTACCACCACCACCAAATTTGACCTCTTGACCTTGAAGTTTGACCACTTTTACAAAAATATATCACTCTTCAACCTTAGTTATAACTTATAACTTTTGTACAGTTGGTGTTAGGGCTTTCATACTTCTCATTGGTATGTTCAATAACTTTTTTGACAGGTCTGCCCAAGTTTTGTATTAAAACGCTTCTGAAACTCATCTGTAAAAACATTTAATATTGTTGGCCGATTTAAACATTTCGGGAAAATAGCAAAAAAAATGAAAACGTGAAAAAAAAACTATGAGGTTCGGAGAGTAAAATGGAGGATAGGTCAGGTGACAGGAAACATGAGTACAGTCATGTATATTTTTTTTGCCCCGGTATAGTGTCATATTTGATATTATAGGGAATATGTGATTTGCAGCACATTCTTACTGATATTTCTTTAAATTACAGGTATCCTGAATTTGTCAACTTCTAGCCAAGATCCTGTAGGTAAGCTGAATGTGGAGGACAGATGTACACACAGTACTAGTATAGAGGGTAAGTAGACCATAAAAAAAAACAAGATGTGTTTGTGAAACACTATGCGCCCGGCGGCAACAAAGTTTGGAAAAAGCTATTTTTAGCATTAAGGTCACAGTCAAGGTCACAAAGTCATTGACCTTGGTGTCATTTGAAAGAGGTTGATTAGTGGAGTATGGAGTGGACTCCATGCCACTAAACTGGAAGTGAACACCGCAGTGAATATTTGACGTAATTGAAGAAAAGAAAAAAATTGCATGTAAATCTTCATGTACAATATTATGTTTCCATATGTGATCAATTAAAAAAAAAATATTTTTAAAACAAAATAATGCCTCATCAGGTCGGTAAGACAAGCTGTTTGGCTCTTTGTTGACTTGGCTTTTCAATGATTTAAATTTGGCACCGTGTAAAAATAGAATTATCTGTCCCTGGTACATATCGTCTTACAAGTAAGAAAAAGAATTGATAACTTTTTTAAGTTTTCTTAAATATGTTTAAAATAACTGAATCAAAATATGTTGAATAATTATTTATTTTATTTTATTTGAACAAGCTTTCATCATGTTCAAAGACGTCAAATATTCACTGCGAGATTTACTTCCAGTTTAGTGGCATGGAGTCCAGGATGAGCTGTCAAATTGGAAAAACGGCCAGAAACAGCCTGTAGTCGTCAAGCAGATTGGCTTTCTTAACTTGAATAAATAGTAAAACGCTCGGAATACTGAATTAGTTTCGAGATTTTTTAGGCCAAGCCCAGATCTATTAGTTTAGGTGGGTCCCCCCAAAACATGTTGCCATCCTGGTGTATTTTAGTTGAAGGTAGGAAAATTTTTTTCCGGATTTTTTTTTTTTGACAATAAGAACTTCAGACTCCTGTCCTATAACATTTTAAAAAATATTTATTGATTTTTTTTAAAGTCACTTGCCCACGGGCATGTACCTATTAAAAAAATTCACTTGCCCCCAATTTAAAATTCACTAGCCCCGGGCGTCGGGCAATGGGATTTGTCAGACCCTGGTAGTGTAGATTCAAGCTTGTTCAAATCATGACCCCCCAGGGGTAGGGTGAGACCACAATGGCCGATCAAAGTTTTACATAGGAGTATATATAGGAAAAATCTTTGAAAGGGGTAAAAATCTTCTTCTCAAGAACTACTGGGCAAGGAAAGATGAAAACTCATGTGTAATCATGTTCAGTTAGTGTAGATTCAAGTTTGTTCAAATCATGACCCCCGGGGGTAGGATGGGGCCACAATGGCCAATCAAAAGTTCACAAAGGAGTATATAGGAAAAATCTTTAAAAATCTTCTTCTCAAGAACTACTGGGCCAGGAAAGATGAAACTCATGTGTAATCATATTCAGGTAGTGTAAATTCAAGTTTGTTCAAATCATGACCCCCAGGGGTAGGGATGGGGCCACAATGGCCAATCAAAGTTTTCCTTGGAGTATATAGGAAAAATCTTTCAAAATCATTTTCTCAAGAACCACTGGGCCAAGAAAGATGAAACTCATGTGTAATCATCTTCAGGTAGTGTAGATTCAAGTTTGTTCAAATCATGACCCCCAGGGGTAGGATGGGGCCACAATGGCCGATGAAACTCTTTCATAGGAATATATATGAAAATCTTTTTAAATCTTCTTCTCAGGTACTTCAAAGCCATGATTAGTGATATTTATATGGAATCAACCCCCTTAATGTATATTTGAAGTTTGTTCAAATCATAACCAAGCGTACTTCCCCCCCCCCCCTCAATTTTTCAGTTTTGACCTGATCTGTGCTTTTTCCTAGACAATGTGCTCAGGTGAGCCCCGGTCAAATAAAAATCAAGGATTAAAATCATTCCAAGGTCTTGTCTCACAAAAGGGACATCAAAAATGAAAACCAAAATCAAAAGTTACAATGAAAACAAGACTCCCAGGGGTAGGGCGGTGCCACAATGGCTGATCAAAGGTTTACATAGAATATATAGGAAAAATCTTTAAAAATCCACTGGGCCAGGAAAGATAAAACTCTTGTGGAAGCATCCTTAGGTGGTGTAGATTCAAGTTTGTACAAATCATGACACCCTGGGGTAGGGCAGGGCCACACTGGCTGATCAAATTTTTATATAGGAATATATAGGAATTTTTTTTTAAAATCCTTTGCTCAAGATCAGCAAAGCTATGATTGTGATATTAATATGGAAATATCCTCAGAGTTAATTAAAGTTTGTTAATAACATGATCTCTTGGGTTTAGGGAGGGTTAACGAGGGGTCACAATGGGAGATCAAGTAATATGTAGGACAAATCTTCTTTTCAAGTATGACAAAATTTAGCTGCAGATCTGTAGCACTATGGTTTTATAATTTGTCTGACTCTAACGCTACAGGTCCCGTAATGCAAAAATTGTGGAATTTACGGGGCATTGTTTGCGCACTTTTGGGGAAAATTTCCCCATTTTCTAGCATTGGTCAATCAACTACCTTTCACTTCCCAATTCTGGACTTATTCTGTATAAAATAATGTACATTTTATCCACCTCCCAACCATTTTTAGTTATATCTACAGGTAAAAAACTCACTTGAAGTGAATTTTCAGCAGTATAACATATAATTTTAATCAAGCGTGTTCTCAAGTAATAAAAAAATTCATCCCCCCCCCAACAAGTAATCTTCAATACTGAGCTGACTTGTGTTTTTTTAACTAGCCCATGTGCTCAGGTGAGCAATGTGGCCCATGGGCCTCTTGTTTTCATTGTAACTTGATTTTGTTTCGAACTTTGGAATGATTTTAATCCTTGACCTTTTTATTTGACCTTATTTCAAATTATTGCTTTGGAATTGACAATATATGATAGGGAATTAATATTTAACACAATATGCTATATATAATAGCATCTCACAAACTAAGACACCGAAAGCGAGGGACCACAATTATTTGAATTTGCTTGATTACATTGCTTTAAATGCTCAGAAATGATGTTTTCTAATTTCAGGTATTATCTTGGTACCTTAAAACTCCAAACGACAGGGAGAAGAAGAAAACTGCATATTTCTGATGTATCTTCACAGCAACATGACCCAAAGCACTACCATTAAAGGATTTGATTTGACATTAAGGAAGTAAAAAAATGAAGGCATTAGTCATAAAGAAAATTAAAGAACTTTATGTCTGAATATTATATCAACAATACCATAGATCTAAAGATGGATTATTTTGCCTTATAATTTATATTAATGCATGTACATGTAATTTTATTCTTTTTATATATATACATGCATGTAGTGTTACCATTTTTCACAAAGCTTAAAGTTATGTAGGGCCACACCAATTTAATTTCTTGTTCGTCGGACATTTGATTTAAAAAAGTACAAGCGGTTAAATGATAATATTATTACTCTTTGCTGGGCAATTTTTTAGGCGGAGCGTGAAAATTTGAGCGGACAATTATATTTTTTCTGATTTACAGAGTAAGCAGATTTAAAATACAATAAATAGAGCGGAAATGGAACAGAAAATAGCACAGAATTCCTATGGTGCGAGAAATTGAAATTAATATTATTTGTATGGTTTTGTTTAAATAAGCGCGTGGGTCCGACGAACAAAAATTTTCATTGGTGTGGCCTAGATCATTTAGATTCAATTCATTTTTTTTTTCAAATTACCACATGCCAGAATTCATAAGAAGGAAATTTATATATGGCTGGTGGTTGTGGCCATTTTTAGACTATATTGATCTCCTTTAGAAGGAGAGCTCCTTATAAAATTATACAAAAAATGACCAAATTTTAAAACTAAAATGTACAGAATTTTTCTTTGCCAAATGATAGTTCATAGAACCACAATTCTTCAATCATGTATACTTGGAGATCGGTGGATGGATATTCATATACAATACACAGCTGAAGCAGGTTTTGTTAGGTTATTTTATTTTCAAAAGGAATGCATTATTTTCTTGAGTCCATTAATGTTAAGCTCTTTAATAGAAACAATTGTAGAAGATTTATCATATTTTGTTTAGAATTTTGAAGAATTTGTTAATCACTCAGTGAAAATTATCCCTTGTCATAATACAAATTTTTAAAATGTATGTACAAATACTTTAATGTTGAAATGACCATGCAAGGAAGAAAATAAAACAAGTTTAAGTGTACACTTTATGCTTTTATATCCAAATTGGCTTCTGTGGAAGGAGAAAGGTTCATATAATAGTATATTAATTAAAGGAGTACATAATGTCCTTTAGAATTTCAGTAAAATTTCTTGACTTTCATGTTAAGGTCATACGCAACGTAGTTTTAACTTTTTTGGATTCTGCCTTGGAGTTGAAGAGTTCCACTAAATGAAGGACCTGTGTGCAATATTTTTAATGTCTATATATGGATTTGTACACCTCTTCTTAAACAATTTTTGATGGAAAAAAATCTGGAATTCATGTTTTATAATTTTTGTACATTTTTATTTGAATAATGCAAATATTTACAAAATTCGATATCTTTTTAAAACCCCTGGTAACGCATGCTGATTTTTTTTGTCTAAGAACATGTAATGATATTATAAGTTTGAATTTAGAATATCTTGGAAAATTATCAGTAGGTAAGGTACGTTGCATATGTCCTTAATAGACATGAATTTAATTCGAATGGGGGTTGCATTCCATTCCATTCCATCTTGTTTTGAAAATGAAAGGATTAACTTCCATTGTAATTGTCATACATCTCAACACATTCATATGCTAGAATGTGTAGATTATATAGAAGAAATTGGAGAAAAAAAGGAAAGGAAGTAAAAGTCAACACATGTGAATAAGGCCACACCAATTTAATTCATTGTTCGTCGGACATTTGATGAAAAAAGTACGAGCGGGCTAGCGGTTAAATATTAGTACTTTTTTGAAGGCAAAATTTTAAGGCGGGGCGTGAAAAAATTTGAGCGGACAATTATATTTTTTCTGATTTGCAGAGTAAGTAGATTAAAAGTACGATAAATAGAGCGGAAATATAACAGAAAACAGCAAAGAATTCCAATGGTGCGGGAATTTCAAATTTATATTATTTGTATAGTTTTGTTTAAATAAGAGCGCGCGGGTCCGACGAACAATAAATTTTATTGGTGTGGCCTAATTCCTAGCTGCAGAACTGTAGCGTTGTGGTTTTGAATATTAGTCTCGTCCATAAAGCTACAGATCCCGTAATGCAAAAAAAGGTACCATTTACGGCTGAAGATTTTTTGCGCACTTTGGGGAAAATTTCTTTTTCCAGCATTGCTCAATCAACTACCTCTCACTCCCGAATTCTAGACACATTCTGTAACCAATCTGTATATTTTATCCACCTCCAAATCCTTTACAGTGGTAAACTGATTTGATTAGAATCGTTTGTTAAATTGCTGAAAATACACTTCAAGCGAGTTTATCGCCTGTAGAGACTACTATCAGGCATGTAGCATCGTTTTTGAAAGTGGAGGGTGGGGGGCAACCAGAAATTTTTTTTTTACTTACCTGTAAAAGTTGACAAGCAAAAAAAAAAAAAGGAAAATTGCCAACTTTTTCCAAGGCCAACTTCCTTTTACTTCCAATTTTTTCGCATACAATACATACAATACTATATTTCCTTCATATCACTATACGGTGGTAAGAATTGGGGGGGGGGCAACTTTACAGTGGACATTCTCAATAATAAAGGTAATGTTGGGGAAAAAAGTGGGGGGGGGCTAGGCCTCCTCCTGGCCCCCACTGTTGCTACGTCCCTGACTATAAAGAGTTGAGAGGTGGATAATATATACAGATTGTTGAAAGAATGTGTCTAGAATTAGTGAGTGAATGGTAGTTGATTGATCAATGCTGAAAAGTGGAGAAATTCTCTCCCCCCCCCCCCCCCAAACTGCGCAAAACGCAATGTTTTCACTCAGGACCACTGGCTTGCGAGGATGGACTAAAACTATATTAAGAACTTCCTGAACTAGTTTTGAAATTTTTTCTCCGGAATGGGGGGGGAGGTTACTTTTTTCTAGGCATAAATAAAGACAAATAATAACCCCATAGAATATGTCCGTAGAAAAAGTTCTGTCCTTTATGGAGTAAATGTAAATGTCTCAATAATTTCCGAATATCCCTCGTATATTGATAATATTACATTATACCATCATTGTATTTTTTTTTAAGGTCAAGGCAATGACTCAGAATTTAGAGGAGTAAAGGGCTTATCGAGCCCAAAAGGGCAAGGAGAGCGTTGTTTTTCAATTTTACAAAATCACTGATCGTCATGACAGAAAAAAAAACATCAATGAAAGTTTTATATGATTCAACGATCAAAATGATTCAAACTGATGGAGCAGACATGTCAAGTTTCTTGTTTACAAGTCAGAGACATGCAAACCCAATGAGACCATCGGAGCTAACATCAGCTTAACCAGTATAAGTTTTGCATTTGAAATCTTTTTTGGCAAAATGTAGAAAAACAATAAATGCATAGCATTGAAAGGTGTATTTTAAGAGGCAAAATGACAAATTACCTTAGAAATATCTTGGATCAAAAAGTTTTGTGATGTAAGGGTGATTTCCTTTTACTCTTCTGTATCAAATTTAAAACGTTGGGGGTAGCATGAAAAGGACAATCAGACTTCCAGTGAACATTTTAAATGTTAAAAAAGAACAACAACAAAAAAAAAAACGATCATGGAAATAGAAGTGGGAGAATACTCCACCCCTCCTGATTCTATCACCCCCTCGAATCAAGGGTTTTTGATCCGCTCCGCTTTATGCGGGCATCAAAAACCGGAGGGCAAGCCCCTTCTCAATTTCCTAGTGCCTGAATATGTTCGTTTGAGCGAAATTCGGATGCAGATGAAATAACTTTTCTGAAATTGATTTCAATCTACTGTATTTTCAGTTCAATTTAGGAATGAAATATCCTTATATTCACTAGGAAGGTCAAAATTGAAAACATTTATCTACATCAAAAATTCAAAATACACAAGACTGTATATTGAAATGTTTCTACATTAGTTTCACAATTGAAGCACTGTTTTAAAGTGGTGTCATTTTGTAATTTTTGAATTTATCGGGTGGTAGTAAATACAAAAATTCAATATAGTTGACATATTGTAATTTTTGTATTTACTACCACCCGGTAAATTCAAAAATTACAATATGACAATGGGTTTTAAAAAAATCCTCTTAATATATATATGTCTGTGTATCCAATTCTCAGACGACCATGTTATCATACATGTACATGTACTTGAATGTACATTATGCTTGGAATCTTTTTAATTATTCTACGAGTAAATTTTGAAAAGAATTTCTCAAAGAGTATCCCACTGTTTATAAATAAAATTGAATCCACATAATACACGAACGATATTTTTCAGACATGCAGAAATTTTATATCCTTCTTACATGTATATGATTGCCACGTCTGATTCATATTTGGACGTTCTTCTGACTATACCAGTACTAACTATATTTAAGACCAAATTAAAAGTAAATTTTATGCCAAACGAATAACTTTAGCTTTTTCTATTGTCATCTTTCCCTATTTATGAAATAATACAGGCACGTAGCAACAGAGAAGGGAAGGGGGGCTCCTCCCCCCCCCCCCCCCCCACTTTTTTCCCAACATAACTTTTACTATTGCAAATGTTCATTGATAGGCTGGTTGCCTCCCCCTTTTGTGGTACAGTAAATTGAAATAAGGGTAATGTAGCATTGTATGCAAAAAAAAAAAAGAAGATACTGAAAGAAGTTGGTATCCGAAAAAGTTGCCCCCCCCCCTTCACCCACCCCACCCCCACGAAATAGGATTTTCGAGTTTGGGCAACGTCGCAGCTGTTGCAGAAAATATTATATACCTCTTATATATTTTTTCTGCAAAAGCTCCGACGTTAATTTCCGTACTAGCAAACAAAGAAAAGCACTTAACTATTTATATTAATTTTACATATTTATGAAAAAGGTCAAAGTTAAATTAAATAAGTTAAATATTATACATTTATTGACGGAGTTAGAGGACAACATGCGCTTTGTCAGTCCCAAGAACCAACTGTCTGTCTGAGGATGTTAGAACGACAAAACGCATTTTACCCGAGAACTTAGTCAATAAATGTTTTGCTATACCTTTCATTTTCATTTTTTTCACATACATGTATTTTGTACTATCTACCGTGATGTAACCTCCGATCCGTCACTTCTGAACACCAATGAATGAAAATGAGATTAAGCTCCGCCCATTTTCTGACTTAAGCGATCCAACATCTCATCGACCGGTCCAACATCTCACTAAGCGGTCAAACATCGAATGTTTTTATGCCCGCTCAGCAAATCATTACACATTTATTGACTGGGTTCGAGGGCAACATGCGTTTTGTCGGACCCAAGAACCAAACTGTCTGTCTGAGGCTGTTAGACTGAAGGCACACAGTTTGGTTCGAGGGTCCGACAAAACGCATTTAGCCCGAGAACTCTGTCAATAATTATTTTGTTATACTTTTCATTTTATTTTATTGACATACATGTATTTTATACTGTATTCCGTGATTTAACGTTAACTCCGTCACTGTTTAACGAATGAAAATGAGATTAAGCCCCGCCCATTCTGTGGCGTAAGCGGTCCAACATCTCACTCAACGGTCCAACATCGATTTTTTTTTTTGTGCCCGCTCAGCAAAACATTAAAAATGTTAGAATTTTTTCGTTTAGATTTATGTAAGAACAAATTTTTAAAGGTATAACAATAGATATGATGGACTTTTTTTCGTTTATTGCTTTGTATAGGAACAATTTTAAAAGGAATATATTGCAGACATATATGTCATTGCGTGGACCCTGAGGTCCACGAAGTAAATACTAGTATATAAGCGAGGTTTAACAGGATGTCATGGGCTTCGCATGCGCGAGAATGCTGGAGAGTTCGCACCTTAGGTAACCTGCCCGTAGAATAATTCGCCCTATTCGAATTAGAATATGCCATTATTTGCAAATCGCGCTTTTAAATCCACATATCGCATTTACATAGTCATTGGCGGATCCGAATTTCCCTCTTATACAGTCATATACCTTTTATGTACAAACTAAACTTTGATTCTATTGTACAAGCATTTTAAAAAGTAGGAAGAACTTAGATACATGTAACTTAACAACTTGAATGAAAAACG